AGGTAAGTCTCCAACCCCACGGCTGGCCTCACGCATCTTCCATCGAAAGGATGAGCAAAATAGGATGAATCTACAGCTGGAACATGGAAATATACACTGCCACACTTATTTGTTTGGTTATGTGCGTGCGTGCGCGCACATGTGTGTGTGTGTGTGTGTGTGTGTGTGTGTGTGAGAGAGAGAGAGAGAGAGATAGGTGGTGGGCGCCCACCTTCATGGCTGCCTGCTGCCGTCTCCCACTGCCCGGTGCCGCTTCCCGCCGCTGCTTCGAGCCGATGGTGCCATCCGCCGATGGTGTCCCGCATTAACATTCGAATGCCGACAGGGCGCGCGGCTCCGGAAACAGCCGTTCCCCGAGGAAAGGTTAAAAACACCCCAGAACAAGTTCAATATCCTGCAACTTATCAGCGACTTGGGGACTAGAGCGAAATATCCGGTAGGCAAAAAAAAAAAAGTATCCAAAGAAAAAGACGAAAAAAAATAAGTGCAATCTTCGCCGAACCTTTAGCGAGACACAAAAAATTGTCGCTCAAAAAAATCTAAGTATCTAAAGAAAAAAAGGAAATAAAATAAGTGCAATCTTCGGCGAATCCTCAGGCGCGCACACCAATCGGTAAAAAAAAAACCCTAAGTATCTAAAGAAAGAAACGAAAAAAAATAATTACGATCTTCGGCGAACCCTCAGGCGCACACACCAACCGGTACCAAAAAAAAAAACTAAGTAACCAAAAAAAAAAAAAAAAAAAAAAAAAAAGTGCAATCTTCGCCGAACCTTTTATGATGGTGAACCAAGTATGAGCAAAAAGAAAAACTAAGTACCCAAAGAAAAAAAAGATAAAAAATAAGTGCAATCTTCGCCGAACCTTTTGAGGGGGAAACCAAGTGTGAGCAAAAAAAAACACTAAGTACCCAAAGAAAAAAAAGAAAAAAATAAGTGCAATCTTCGTCGAACCTCTAGCGAGTGTGAAAAAACGGTCTCTCAAAAAAATATAAGTATCTAAAGAAAAAAAGGAAATAAAATAAGTGCAATCTTCGGTGAATCCTCGGGGGCACACACCAACTAGTACAAAAAAAAACTAAGTATCCAAAGAAAAAGACGAAAAAAAATAAGTACAATCTTCGGCGAACCCTCAAGCGCACACACCAATCGGTACCAAAAAACAAAACTAGGTATCCAAAGAAAACAAAAGAAAAAAAATTAGTGCAATCTTCGTCGAACCTTTGATGATGGTAAACCAAGTGTGAGCAAAAAAAAAAACTAAGTATCCAAAGAAACAAAAGAAAAAAAATAAGTGCAATCTTCGCCAAACCTTTGATGATGGTAAACCAAGTGTGAGCAAAAAACAAAACTAAGTATCCGAAGAAAAAAAAAGAAAAAAAATACGTGCAATCTTCGCCGAACCTTCTATGATGGTAAACCGAGTGTAAGCAAAAAGAAAAACTAAGTACCCAAAGAAAAAAAAGAAAAAAAATAAGTGCAATCTTCGCCGAACCTTTTGAGGGGGTAAAGCAAGTGTGAGCAAAAAAAAAAAACACGAAAAAAAATAAGTGCAATCTTCGTCGAACGCTTACCGCAACTTTAGGCAAAACTACAACGAATTCGGCGAAAGAAAAAAAGAAGAAAAAAAAATTCAGAGATGCAACCATTACTGATAGGTGACCACTAAAAGAAAACTTCGGCGAAACCACAATGACTTCAACTTTCGGCAAGGAAAAATGCCGCATTACAAATGAGTTACCTTCCAATTCGCCACAAATTCAGAGGCAAAGGGACACAACAAAAATAGTAGTGGTTATGGAACAATTCTTTAACGAATTACTTAAAAACTTCGGTGCAAGCTTCTGTGGAGCATTCGCCAAAGATTTTGGGATCTGTTGACCACGAGTGGGACCAGAGGGCTACTTTTTGGGATGAGTGATCATTGATGAGACTGCCACTAATTTTGTTCTCCGATTTTATTTTTATTTTTTTTATTATTTTTATTTTTTTTAGGTGATAAAGGAATGTCAACTCCCTCACCGTTTTTTGGGATGAGTGATCAGCAATGAGACTACCACTACTTTTTTTTTTTTTTTTTTTTTTTTTTTTTTTTTTTTTTTTTTTTTTTTTTTTTTAGGTGATGAAGGAATGTCATCCGGGTGCACGACAACTTTATTATGAAGTGACGAAGGGCCGGCTCGCCAGATGGGCAAAAAAAAATAAAAAAAAAAAAAAAATCTCCTTTTTCACGGGGGTGTAAGGTTGACCGCCTTTGCTAACGCAACATTTGGCATTTCTACATGTGTCTTTTTTTTTTTGTTACCAGTTTGTATATGCTTAGACTTGGGCATTGGGCCTAGAATAATAAAAAGTGGCCCTTTTTTATTTTACCAATTTGTATATGTTTAGACTTGAACTGTTCTCTTTGTTGTTTGATAACATAGACGATACGAGGAATGACCAGGGACCTACATAAACAATGATTGCGTAGCTGTCCTTCCTTTTGGGTCCAACAACGTGAAGCCCTCTGTCGTTTTCGGAGATGACAGCGGGTTAGCGACGGAGGTGGGAGTGTGGTAAGCTGGGATATTGACGAGGGTGACGACTGGCGGTTCCCCCCGAAGATGACCGTGTGGCGACGGTCGAAACCGGTCGGGTTGCCATACCCACCGGCTATGAGCAATCTTATGTACGAATCTTGTACTGTTTTATGTACATTTTGTACTGTGTCTGGACTTGTGTATGTCACTCGATGTGTATGCATGAGTACTGTCACACACTCTATCTGATCACCTGTAGAAGGCCCATGTGAACCCGCTTGGAGATGATGGCTGGGCGAGCGTGAGCATGAAGACGTTTGTTTTTGAAGTACCTGTTTGATAAAGTATCAACGTGAATTGGAAGGAGTCAAAAGATAATCGAGACGGGAAGCCAGGATTGGAGTATTTTACGAGCTTTGTAGAAGTGTTTAATAGAAGGAAGGAAGTAGCAAGTTTGGAGCTCGTTAAGGGTGAAACGTTAAGTCCGAGACGTTAATCGGGATCTTACCCACCTGCGATTTGGTTGCCACAGGGTACAATGTCGGGAGGAGACCACGGTGATTACGGTCGTGATAATGAGCGCGATAGGTATTATGGCGGGGTACGTAGTGGAAGCTACGATCGTGGTCGGGAGCATTCCCGGGACTACCGTGCGGATCGACATCAGGAAATGTATAGATCGCTATCGTAAGATAGGGAATCTTATGCAAGGGAATCCCATCATAGAGTCCCGCTAGTGTGCTTTGAATGCGGGGAACCTGAACATTATCGTAACCAATGTCCCCGTTTGGTTGGGGAAGGGAGCTCGCGATATGGCGACCAACGACGAGGGAGACCTATTTCGCCTAGCTATCAGAACCGGGCAGGTGAGAAGCGGTCGGCATCGGAGGACCTTGCTATGAGAAAACAAATCGAAGAACTTGCTAGCTCACTAGCGGCCATGAAGGAGCAGGTGGCGGCCGAGAACGCACGACGTGAAGAGAAGGAGAAGCGCAAGCAAGAAAGAGCTGAAAAAAAACGGAAGGAGGAAGAGGAGAAACAAAAATAAGAAGAGGAGAAGCGTGAGGCAGAACGTAAGAAGAAGAAGAAGGAGATGAAGATTCAGAAGGATGTTGAGGATAAAGAGAGAATGAGAAAAGAGATGCTGATGCATATGTCAGTGCATGTCGAAGGTTTGTAAGAAAGGTTGCAATGGAGGATTGCGAAGGTACTGAAGAACGTGGAGAAGGGGAAAGCTAAAGTGCAGAAGCCTGAAGACTCTGATGAGTCGTACGCGTCGTATGACTCTGACAAAGGTGAGGTGGAGGCTCTGAGCAAGAAGACGGGGAATTTGATGAGAAACGAGAAGCGGAAACGAAGCAGCGAGAAACATGTAGGAGATAGCCCACCAATGGTGACTCCGACGAAACGACACGCTAAGCAAGGCGCAGTGGAACCAGTACGATTGTCGGAGAGACTCCAGTTGAACTGCCGACATCCGCCCATAAAGCGCTCTCCAAAGTGGAAGACGCCACGACGTAGGACACATATGGGACGAAAGATTCCAGCAACGACTGGACCAATTGGGAAACTCAAGTACGTAACCGAGAACCTGCGAAACCTGGCTGACCTCACGATAGATGAACTGAAACAGATCTGTAAGACGGAGGATGTGCAATGGGAAGGGAAGAAGATGCAAGCGATCCTACCTATTGCCGATAAAAGGACACATGTGGCAAACGGATCGCATGATGAAGATGAAGCGGAGAATGTCGCTGATGATACGGGCGTCGGGCGCCAATGAAGGTGCCGAGGCTAGAGGAGATGTGGAAGAAGAAGAGTGACGTGACTGGGAGGTCTAGGAGCTATGGGCAGTATGCCGCTGCCTTATCGATTGGAGGAGGGAAAGGTTAGGGGACGCACATACTGGTAGCCTATACCGACTGGTTGTGATTCTCCTAGCACTGGCCGATGAGATTCATTGGTTAAGGAAGTGTGTTGACTCTTGGGTTAGTTTGTACTTACGGTACGGGATCGATGCTTTCCTGGATGCATCCTGCTGCATTTACGTACTGTCTTCACCTATCTGTCGTGCGCAATATATTGGACAGACCGGCTGAACAGCCACTACTCGATGGAAGGAACATTTATCAGTGTGTAATCGAGGGTTAAAGAATAACCACCTCTACAGATGGTGGCGTTCGTTCGGGGCGGAGTCCTACGTACTCCTACCAATAGACGGCTGCAAAACTGATGAGCTGGTAGTGTTAGAACCTATGTGACACCTGCGGCTTAGGCCACGGGCATTTCGGCCGCTGCGGCCGAATTTCTCGGCCGCGGCCGCCGCCGATGAGGCCCGGTCCGCGGCCTGGTTTTTCAATATTTCCCCCTGCCCCTAAAAATACGTAAAAAACAAAAACAAAAATATCAGGGTGTAGGGCTTCAAAAACCCTACACTCCTATATTTTTTTGTTGGAATCCAACTTTGTTTAGGGTTTTT